GGTACAAGATAATACTTGTTCTTTTACATAACACAGTGTCCCCCAACCCCCCATGTCTGTCCACTGAGCTGGTGCCCCCCGAGCAAATCAGTTGAATGTGACTGCCTTAGATGTTTCCCTGCTTCAACACTTGATTGAAATGAATGAGTCACTGACAGGTTTCTGCTAAACTTGATGACATTCTAAGTAGGTAGTTTAATTAATTGAATCAGGTGTGTTGAAGCAGGAAAACAGCTAAACAAACAGAACAGTGAGCCATATTTTCAAGCAGTGTCAGAAACTTTCTGGGAAGGTCATGCAAGCTTGCTGCAGCATCTGACATCTTTCATTTATATTCTGTCTACAGTTAACTCATCACCCTTCTCCCTCCTGTCTGAATACAATAATTAGAGCATCAACCTCAGTGCGTGTTTTCCTTTCATTGTTGGACTATTGGATCTTGCACCCTGAAGTGTGACAAAGATTTGATGTTGTTAATGATGGACAAAAAATGCACAGAGTCAAGATTATTTAAAATACACTAAACAATGGATAAAAATGAAGTTAACAGTTTACATTGATGAACACAGTTTAATTATTAAGTGCTGAACAAAAGACTGAAATTAGGGTCTTTAAATAAAAAGTGAAGGTGCACAGGGTTGATCTTTACCCACARGAATCTTGTGTCAGTTGTAAATTCAGACTTTTTTTTTCAAACAACAGATAAATTCAGTCCCTGTGTCACARTTTAAAGCTTCTGACTTTTTTTAAGCTGGAAACAGCATAAACACATTTTTTTACGTGCAAGAAAAGTTTTGTGAAACTGGAGACCGCTGTTGCAGTTTTTCAAACTGTGAAATTAGTGTGAATCCACCGAACGAACATGTTTAGGTTGCTTCTGCTGTGCTGTATTACATTAACACCCTTTTTACACCTGAAATTATCACTTGTCCATGCTGAGCAGATGGATGTTCAAATTCACTGAGGATGACATCAAAGATGCATTAGTGGGAAGGGGAAAAAAAGTGCAAATGCAACATGTTTGCAGTTTTAAAAACAAGATGTTTTTAGATTCTCTCAGGAGAATGCACCCAACTTTGAAGAACCTTAACTTCAAAATGTGTGAAGGAAGAAAAGGTCAGGAGAGTTTATTAAAATTTAATTCTATCAACTTTTTTTGCTCTCTTGCAGGCTTTGGACTATGAGACAAAGAGCAGCTACAGTTTCACAGTGGAGGTGAACGAAAATTTACGCTTTCCTGCCGACAACTCSAAAAAGGCCATTACAAAAGCAGAGGTAATTATCAGGCATGGTAACTGGGGTCTTAAGTCATTCCTCAAACAATTATCTGGTCCTGTTTTTTAATTAAGAAGAAACAGAAAAAAGAGGGTAAGGGAAAACAACAGCACAAATAAAAATAATAGAACAATAAATGGTCACAAATGCAACATTTTTTCCCCCTGAGGAAGTAGGTAGGTCAAAGTAACGTTAACATTTAATGGTATACAGCATGCATATGAAAAAACAATGCCCCAAGGCTAAGCTTTCAAATGCATCTAAACAATTTCTTATTGACAGGTGAACATCATGGTGACGGATGTAGACGAGCCACCAGTTTTCTCTGAGTCTACCTACACCTTCGGGGTTTTGGAAGAACAGATGGTGAATCAAATAGGAAGAGTCCAAGCCAGAGATCCTGACAAAGCCAACAGGAGCATAATGTATGTCTCTACACAAATACTCTTCCTGAATAACTCACAATGTTGTAGCTGGTTGTGTGGCTGATCACTCACTCTCTCCGTTAGGTACACGATCTTGGACAAKGATTGTCCCATTGGGATCAATGCGATCACAGGTCAACTGTACACCTTGAGAAAGCTGGACAGAGAGCTGCAGGCAACGCACATGTTTCAAGTTAAGGCGCAGGAGGACCCAGATGGTATGTCACACATTCACACAAAGACTACACGGCTTTATTAATCCTCTCTTTGAAACAATAGATCCACACATAAGAGATGGAAACCATGTGTTCCTCTTCAACAATAAGAGGGCGTCACTCAAGAGAGGCCCAATAGGACAGCATGTTCTGTTGTTTCCAGCATTTTTTTGTGTGTGTTTATGAACGATGAGAGTGGAACACATTAACAAGGATTTTTATAGACTTAAAACGTCTCAATAACACCTGGTCGACCCACACTGGAAATAGACACTAAGCAGGAAAATCACATTAGTGTGTCCTTTTGTTCACTTGCTGCCTCCAMGACGAACCCTATATTTTTAGACAAGCAATGAATGAGAACCAAAAGATCTATTTTAGTTGCTTGTCACAATGTTTAAGGAGCACAAYGGTCCCTTGAGCTTGACGAGGTCTTCGATTTACACTACTTGTGCTGTACTAAAGATAGTTTTGAAATCTCGGTGCAAGAGACAGCAAAGAGACTCGTGGATATATCAAAAGCAGAAGATTCAAAAGGAGCATCAAAATACACACAAATAGGATGTTTTATTGCAACAAAAATATATCTGCAAAACAAACGGCTTGTAAAGAGTAAATCTTTAAGTTTGTTGACCTTATTTCACCCAATTCGTCATTGTCCCTATCAGATGTTGTTAAAATAAGTTGTAAAAATGTGCAGGCTGAACCAAAGTAAATGTACGAATATGAAGTCATATTAATATTAAATATTGTATTCAATATTAAAGTCATAATATTTTAAGAATGAAGTCAAAACCTTACATAACGTCCATTTTTGGTTCCTGTCTTTTTTTCCTCATCATTCTTTCTCACACCTGCTGTGGACAGCCTCTGATGTGTGTCACTGTCTTTATGAAGTAATCTGCAATAAGTTTTGGGTCAYTTTTAGTGTATTCTACCTACATTCACATTATGTGACAACTAAATCTGTCAATGCAGCCATTAACTTCAATACAGCTTCAGTTTTTCAGATGAATTCATAGTCGTTTGCACAATTGTTTCAAAGTCCTGCTACTGATAGTTTGATGCTGATGTGTTAAAAGATTAAGTATTTTTTTTAAATCGATACCAAAGTAGGTTATAAGTTTCTGAGATGCTCAATATTCCTCATTTTAGGAATCCAGTAGTTAGACTGATTTTATGTGTAGGAGTTCTCATAATAACAACTTTAATCTTATAACATCACGACTTTATTCTTGTAATTTTATGGCTGTATTCTCAAAATTACCTTAAAAAACCTTAATCTCATAGTACTACATCTTTATTCTTGTAGTATTATTTTATTCTCGTAATAGTATTTTTATTTTCTTAATGTCATGATTTTAATCTAATTAAAAAATTGTAATGTGGTTAATACTCCGTCATACTGTAAAAATGACACACTGTATATGAGCAAAATTAATTCTGAAAGATTTAGAACATTTGTTGAAAATTTAAAAGCCTTAATAACAAACATTAAATCTGGACTGTTATTTCTATAATTCAGATTTTCAACGATATGTGTTGTTTTCTTTCCTCTGCAGGTTTGGAGTCTTTTGTAAAGGTTAAGATCAACGTTCTGGACGTCAACGATAACAAGCCTGAATTGCATGTAGAGGATATCCATGTCTGCGAGAATGACATGAAAAATACAGTAAGCAATTATGATTTCATAGAAGTTTTAAACTCAATTATCAGTTTGTTTTTGTTTTGATTTGTCTCATGCACACCGGTAACTTTATTTATAAAGCTTGCAGTCACTTAAASCAGTATTTAGCGGGCTGGTTAGAGCTAACAATTCTAAATTGCAAGAAAAAAGGGGAAAATTTTATTATTATTTTTTTAGTTGAAGTTTCAACCAAGCAACCAGCAGCAATGTGACATGTTTTGTGCAGTCAATTTTTAAAACATCACTGTGTATTTCTGTATGTATGGCTTGCAAAATTGTATTCTAGGCTGGACACGTTACTTTGTGGCCCAAACTGTACTCATGATTTAATATTCTGGTGTACACTGTTTAAATGAAAATGGACATACAGTATTTGTAATATTTTAGTATAATTATTTATCATCATTGTGTTTAACAGGCTTCTGTTGCTTTAAATGATCCAACATTTATTTTATTTTAGACAAACTGAGAAATTAAAATAGTTAAACTTTTGTGTGGGATGTAGGGATCCAGCACAGAGTACAAATAACTGATATCTGTTCTGGCACATATAAACAATCCGTTTCAAATAATGTTTTCAGTAAATGGTAACAGCACACACGTAATATCTAAACTGCATTGTCCTCATGTAAACAAGATCTGAGATAAATGTCTGTCTTTGCTCAGGTGATCGGGACCTTGCAAGCCAGAGATAAAGACGACCAATTAGCCTCCTTCTCCTTCAGCCTTGCCAGCCAGAACTCCAACTTCTCCATCAGAGACCACGGCAGTGAGTCCTTTTGTGCTCATTTTTTTATTTTATTTTTTCTGCTCCTTAATTTTCTTGCATGTTGTTCTAAACAGAAAGAGCAGCTTGGACCACTCAGCTCTTGTTGCTATGCAACAGGTGAAACTGCTTGGAGCTGTGATGATGCAGAAATTTGACGTTATTTTAACTTCTGTGCTTTAGTGTTCCAAAGCATTTAGCACACCTGACTTGGGCCTTAAGTGCTCTCTTGCATACACAAAAGCAAAAAAATAAATAATAAATACATAAAAAATAAGCTACTAAAAGCAGGTGGTCAGAAACATGCCACAAAGCACTACTAAGAAGGCTTTTTTATAATAAAATGCTTAATTACTTATTCAGAAAATGTTTGAAGCATTCAAGCATTTTTGTACTTTTCATGAATTGTGTAATTATCAGAAAAAACTAAACAGTTCATAGTTGCATCAATATACTGAGGAGCAGAAAGAGACAAGCATGTCTATACAAAATTGCAAAGCATTAAATTTGTTGTTTAACTGTCTGTATTTGATTTAACTTGCACTGTGCAGCACACTGACTCAGCTMTCTGAGCCAACAATCACAAATGGGCATTTGGAAAACATTTTTTAGCTCTCGTTATTTCCTGGTAAACAAGACAAATGGTTTGTGAGTCCCTCTAGTCTCAGAAATGTTTACTGTTTTTGCATCCAGGTCAGTGGCATTGACCAGTTACAGCAGACTGGGTTCTTTCTCCATAACTGAGCTCACTGCATTTAGAGTTAGAGAATTCAAATCAAGAGAAGGAAAGAGGAGCACATCATTGTAAAATTAGGAGTAAAGCTCAGTGTAAATCCACATGACAGGAGAAATTTTATTGGAGAAAAATAAACACGTTTTTTAGACAAGTTATGTATATTGGAACTTTTTTTAATTGACTAGCCTTTAGAATAAATAAAAAATGCATTTTTTCTGATTACTATACAGAGAGGACATCGGGGTTTTCTTTCTTTTGCATTTCCATGCAATGCCGTGTGACACACATGCCATTTGGCAAGCACAAACTGAATATTTCACAACAAACCCCATGAAAATCAAAATATCYGTTCCATAGTTGATGTTGTCTGGTCCGACAACTGTCCCTATCCCACAAAGTATTGCGAGGTAACGCTCAAGTATTTGTTGTGCCTAATGGTTAATTAATAAATTCACATTTATGCCATCATATGGGAGTTCCTACTTTAATTCAGCATCAGCGTAAACTTATCGCAGGCACTTGAAACATATTAAGATATGTTGCTGACAATCAGACTAGACAATAGACTATTGAAATCAAGCTCTCTGCTTGAATTATGTGTTAGAGATGACTCTCAGCCACACCAAATTTTAAATCAATATCTGTACAATTGACTATAGATTATAGCCATTTCTGATTTTTTCTTTTAATTTTTTCAGTCGGTTTTCTTGAAATGTGTTGAATTCTAAATCAGTTGTCATCTCTTTGAAATCATTACTTTCTGAAAGATTAATTCAAATTGTCCAGCAGTTCATGAGATATTTTGCTAACACTACAGATACAAAACAGAGACTCTGGAAGAATGTTATTGTCAATAATAATTATTAACTTAAATATTCAGCTGTGAAATAAATTATTACTAACATTTCAGTTTTTTTTAAAAGATGGTGCTTGGCCATGGCAGATTTTGAAACTTAATTATTTTTCAGCATAATTATTTTCATATTTGACTTTTGATCTTGTGTTGTTAATGTAGACCAATGCTTCTGGAAAATTGTTATCACCTGTTCTAGTTGCATTCAAAAGCCTCAGGTAGTCTGATGAAGCGTTTAGGTGAAGTGTTAATATTTAATTAAAACGAACTGCTCTGAGAAGAAGATAAACAGAGGTAGAAAAAAATGGGAGTAAATATCTCTCATCCATTTTCACTCTGCTTATGCCTGAAGGAGTTGACAAGTTGAACTGATGGAGAAGAGTAAAAAAAGAGAGCAGAGGGAAAGACAGATGAGAGAAAAGTGGAAGAGAAGATGAAAGGAAGGGAGAGGATGAGCTAGAAAGTAAGGGATAGTGGAATATCAGAGACTGAGAAGGAGAATAAAAAAGGATACACATCAGAGTTCAAAGATGAAGCATGGGGGGAAATGGAAATAAAATGAAAGACTGGGAGAAAAACAAGGGATGAAAACTAAGGAACACTGTAGAGAGGGACAGCGGAGGTCAGGAATAGGAGAACGAACATGAYGGAAGAAATGAGGCAAAGACAGGAGAGCCAATGATGGCACAAAGACACAATCACATCAAAAACAWTGAAAGTTTCAAAGGTGGAAAAAGATTTAATAAGAAAAGGTGTAACGAAGAAAATAGAAGCCAGAAGAGAAGAAAAGTGTTGTTCSATAACTGCTGGTTTTCACTCATTGTAAGGCATTGTAGCCCTTCCAAAAAATCATCTGCAGGCACCTAACTCACAAACTCGTCCAACTCTCACACTCAAACACAACAACAAGTCCTGGAAAGTAAAGGCTTTTCAAATATTTATTGACTCCAACCTCTTTAAATCTGGCAGAAAACAACCTTCATTACGGGAAAAGTCAGTGTAACCATGCAGCAAAGTGACACGACTCCATGTTTGGAGCTGGCACCTACATGGAGCTCTCTGCGTGAATGCCAGACAGGCAGAGTAAGAAGGGTACAAACAAGGAGAAGAAGAAGAGTAAATGAGATGAAGAGAGCAAAATAAATCTCTGGAGGACCGCGAGAAATATCCAGAAAACCCTAAGAGACAGAATTAGGAGGAGAAATCAGGAAATGAAAGAGTGGCAGACGAGGATGAAGACGAGGGGTGAGATGATGAGTGGACAGAGATGATTTTCATCTTTTATTCCTTTAAGGCTTCATGTTCCTCCATCACAAGACTGTTGGAACAACGGACTCAGTTTCTGAACATGAAAAATGAAAGAAAAAGAGAAAAAGCTAGCTGGTATGGTTCACTTTCACACCACACTGTGTTAAATGAACCAAACCATTTGAGCAACCTGTTTACCCCCCTCGCCTGTGGTGGTGCTGCACCAACCACTAAAGTAAACGAGACAAAAACCTCTAAACAAGACTCTGAGCGCAACTTCCTTTTTCACAAAACGTAAACCAAAATGGAGAGATGCCAGATTTCTCTTTGGCCATAACGAGTGAGCTAAACAGACACTCTTCAACTTGAGCCAACCACGAGCCATTTCTCTTGCTAGCACTAGACACACGTGTTTGTTTTGATTATATTTACATAGCATGCCCTGCGCTGTAGATCATTTCCTTCTTTAAGAGCGATCTCTGGTCTACTTAGTATTCACACATTTAATCGAACCGCACCAGAGTTCACTTTGAGCTGAGACCTAGTTTGTGGACAGACCTGGGGTCGGATTTATAAAACTGGCGTACGCACAATTTGAGCCCAGAAATTTACGTACGCCACTTTGTACGTCAAGGTTGTGATTTATAAAATCCAAACTTGACGTGAAAATGTGCGGTGCCTCACGCCAGCTCTGACCCATGTGCATGCTCATTTTGGAGACGTGAAACTGCGACACAGATGGTGAAGTGAGGAATTAGAGCCACACTGTGTAATGATCACTGTCAGATATTTAATTTACCTTCAGARTCAGACTTAGATTTTTATTCAGCTTTATCATCAGCTTTCTTAATAGTAATATTTATGCTTCTGCTGCTGAGCCACGAGGACCTTTGAAATAAAAAACTTAAATCTTAAATAAAAGTTCCCGTGCACAAATCCCTTCATCTCCTTCCTCCTCAGACGACCCTGACCCACAGACCCCTCCCTGACCCACAGACCCCTCCCTGACCCACAGTCCCCTCCCCGACAAGAACAGCAGGACAGCAAAATCACGCTTTGGATACACGCGCAGGGCGCATCCACCTCGCCAGTGTGGATGTTATAAAATTTCATGTTTAAAGTCCGTATTTGTCACGCGTGCGCTCGGTGGGTGTGTGTGTGTGTGTGTGTGTGTGTGTGTGTGTGTGTGTGTGTGTGTGTGT